CAGAGAGCCTGCAGAGTGATGGTCCATCTCCCTGCAGCTTACAGAGCCTTACTAGACACAGCTGAGGTAAGTGAAGGATAAAGGAAGGGTGAAAATGTGGGACCACTGTGTGCAACATTCTGTTCTACTTTGCCTGGGGGGATTTGAGACAGATGAGCAAATTACGGTTGGGCTTCTTGGGAAGTAGGCAAGTAGTCATTCTTTCTGAAATGCCTGTAATATCTGTAAGATGTGGGTGTAATATCTACCTCGTGGGGTTTGCATGGGAAATGAGTGAGATAATATATGAGCTCTACTACACGGTGCTTTGTGAATTATCCAGTAAGAGGTAGATATTAGTTGACAGCAACAAACGGAATAACTGTATGATTCAGCAATTTCACTTCTAGGTATGTGTCAGAAAGAATTTGAGGCTTCAACAGTGACAGGGTTATTCAGCTTGGCCAAGAGTGGAAGAAATGCAAGTACACATCAGCACACTACTATTTATTCAGAGTGGCAGCCAAGGTTCCAGAAACAGAAGGATGGATGTGGCCTGTAAATACAATGGATGTGGGATGCTACTCAGCCACGAAAGATGGAAATTCTGACATGCTATAACATGGATAAACTTTGATGATAATATGGTAAATAAAAAACCATTAAAGAAAAAACACTTCATGATTCTACTTGTGTGAACCATCTAATCAAATTCACAGAAAGAGAAGCGTTATTTTCCGGGGAGATCGGAGAATGAGGAGTTACTGTTTAAGAGGCATTAAAGCATTTTCATCTGGGAAGATGAAGTTCTGGAGATGGGCGATAGTGATGGCTACACAAAAGAATAAACTTAGGGCCCCCAAACTAAACACTAACTGTTCTGGTGGCAGATTTATGTTAGGAGTACTTTGCTATGTTATAAAGTTGTGAATTCCCGATAGAGCCAGAGTGTGGTTGGCATTGATCTGTCATTGAGTGGGGCAATGCAGATGGCTGAGGGAACTTGAGCTTTTGGAGTTGAGACTAACAGAGGGTCCTCAGAGATGATCTTCACCTCACAGAAACTGCTAGAAGTGCAAGTTCTCAGACCTCTGTGCAGCTGGCAGTCAGTGTCCAACAAGCACGGCTGACGATTCTGTTGAGACTGTTGACCAGGTGAACCGTAGCTCTGGAGAAAGGACATGAAGAGATGGTGGCTCAGTCACACGTGTGCTGTGACTCCAATGAGTCCCAAAGTCCAACAATGAAACATCTGAAGGATGGGTGAGTATGTAACTGGTGAGCAGCCTGGGGCCAGTGTGAAATCCTGGGGCCAGTGAAAAATCCTGTGGCCAGGATGTGGTGCTCAGCATGCAGATGGATGCTTTCAAATACAGGTATAAAGATGCTAGATTTCAAATCTACCTAGGATTTCACAGAAAAGGGAAACTATTTAGGTTTGGGGACTCACTTTCACTCCAATTCCACCCATTTTTTTATTAGTTAAATGTGTTGACGGACAGTTTCACACATGTGCACAATGTGTCCTGACCACTTACCCCCAACCCTCTCCCATCTCCCTGCTGCAACTGTTTTTCTTAATTCATGTCTATACATGTATTTTGTAACCTACTGAATAGTTTAACCAGGGGCCATCTGTGTGACCATGGAGCCACCCATCAGAGCTTGGTGGACTCAGCTGTGTGTAGACTGTTGAAGACAGCAACTACCCCTTTCCCAGAATCTATCAATAGCCAATAGTTGAGCAGCAAGTAATAGCATCTCATGAGCCCCTCCCCAGCCTGTGACATTGTTGACAGGGCCAGTCTTGTGCAGGTCAGTACAGGTAACCATGGTGGTTAGTTTACGATTGGAATTGTTGTGCCAAATCTAGATGGCATTTCGAAGTCTCTAAACCCATCTTCTGGCTCTTATACACCTCCCGCCCCCTTTTTCAATGTTCCCTGACCTTTACAGGGGAATGATATAAATGCCATTGATTTTTTTCAGTATCACCAATCTTTACTTCTTTCTTCTCCCAAATGAGTCATATACAGTGTCTTTCATAAAGCACCGTTTGGGTTATTTCCTTGGGAATCATACTGAATGTAAAGTTGCCTGCTTTATAAATTCGCATTTGCATATCATTGGCACATGCTTTATAAGTGAGGCACACACTAAACAGGGCATCTCCTTCAGCCTTCTAGGCTCCTGTGACTCAGCTCTTGGATTTCCCTCCTCACGTCCCCAATTTCTTGGCCTTTGCAGAGTCTCCTTCCTGCAACCACAAATTTCATGTTAACTTCCCACCACCCTCCATCCTGGGGTATTCTTCCCTGGGGCAATCTCACCCATCACCCCAGCTCAGGTACTCACCCTCTGTGTCAGAACAGCAATCTGGTTTACTTCCTCTTGGCTGAGGTGTGGTAATTCCATGTCAATAGGGAATATGGGGGTTTAAATCCTAATAACATTAGCTATGGGAGTTGGGGGGGCGGGGCTAAGAGATACAATAAAGAAGCAATCAAATCTGAAATATGGGATATTCTATAATCTGATGGTTAGATGACTGGGCATTTTCAGCAAATAGCACAGAGGAAGAAGGAAGAAAGGACAATGTAAGGAAATTGAAGTGACACAGGGAAATGCAGTCAATAGTAAAACTCTTGTTGAATCCTGATTCAAACTAGCAATAAAAATGAACATTTGAAACTATTAGGAAAGTTAGACATAGACCGGGCATCAGATACAGATGAGTTATCACTGCTTTTCATAGCTGTAATCACAACCGCATTGTTACATAAATAAGGAAGACCCCATCTTAGGAATGCATAGTAGAATATGAACAAAATAAAATTAATAAAAAGTTAGTGAGCTCTGCAGCTGGGTATTCAGCATTGTTCTTCTGACTTTTGTGTATATTTAAAATTTTTAATCATTTTTTTAAGGCAGGCTAACTAAAAGGGAATAAAAAGAGAGAAACATAAGGGTGTGTGTGTGTGAGAGAAAGAGAGAGACAGAGACAGAGACAGAGAGACAGAGAGAGAGAATCCTGCTGCCCCAGGAATTCTTGTTTATAGAACCAAAGGGCTATCCGGTGAAAGTCCTTGACTCCAGCAATCAGTCTTGGCAACAAACCGGCTTTATCTCATGTACACGTCCTTTGTTTTTTTTTTGAAACACACATGAAGCACTCAAATGGCTTCTCAGGGACAGGAAACAGGGAGACTTGTTTTTTTCTGTTAACAGCGTTGCCCTGCCGTGAGAGTCCCACGGCCATCCATCACTGCCATAAAACCACAGCTTAAGAAGCCAGTGGCCACACTGCCTGAATCCTAACGGTGCGAAAGTAACTAAAACTGCAAGTTGAGGTCCACGCAACTCCTTGTTTACCTGGAACTCCTGCAGGGACCGCTTGTATTTACTATCACAATCTAGTACTTAGCACCCCCCAGCCCTTAGTAAGCACTAATAGTTTCTTGAAATGTTGCCCTTAGAAGAAAGGAGCCACAATAATTTGGAAAAAGTAAGATTAACCCAAAGCTTCTGGCTTTGGGGCTTTAGAAGTTGGATTGGGAAAGAAAATTTATTTTCCTCAGATCTGTTTAAAATCATTCTTTTTAAAAATTTATTTATTTTACATCCTGACTGCAGCCCCCCCCCCCCTCACTCCTTAAAAATTTATTTATTTTACATCCTGACTGCAGCCCCCCCCCCCCTCACTCCCACTCCTCACCCCTCCTTTCCTCTGTCCTTCCCCAATCCTCTATTTGCTTAGAAAGGGGCAGACCCCTCCTGGGCATCAGCAAAGCATGGCATATCAGTCTGCGCCTCCCCCTGTATTCAGGCTGGGCAAGGCAATCCAGCATGAGGAATGGGTTCCCAAGAGCCAGCCAAAGCACCAGGGACAGCCCCTGCTCCCGTTGCCGGGAGTCCCACAAATAGACCAAGCTACACAACTGTCACATGTATGTAGAGGGCCTAGGTCAGTCCCATGCAGGCTCCCTGGTTGTTGGTTCAGACTCTGTGAGTTCTCATGAGCCAGGCTAGCCATTTCTGTGGGTTTTCCTGTGATGTCCCTGAACCCCCCGGCTCCTACAATCCCTCCTCCTTCTCCTTAGCAGGACTCCCCGAGGTCAGCCCAATGTTTGACCATGGGTCTCTGAATCTGCCTCTTTCGGTCACTAGATGAAGGCTCTCTTGTGACAACTTCAGGCCCACCCCCTCTGATGCTCCCCTTTGCCCTGCCTTTTATTGGACTTGTTGCTCTCAGAGCCCACAGCCTAGACTACCAGGGACCTTCAAGCCCCCACATCTATAATTACTGTAACCAGGCCTGGTGATGTGTAGTGTGTGTGTCCTCATAGTTTCCCTCTTTGGTCAAAAGTAAAACTCTAGCTGGGTGGTGGTGGCACACACTTTAATCCCAGCAGTCGGGAGACAGAGGGGGAAGAAAAAGTAAAACTGTAGGCAATTTTGAACTTTCCAGGATTTTGTTAATTTAATGGTAGTTCCTAATTCTAAGTCCCTGCCCCGATTTTCGCGTGAGAATTGGTGAAACCAGTAACCTCTAACAGCTCTGCTGTGTGGGGAAGAAATGCATCGTGGTACCACTGGCTGGGCTTGGTAATGCCTGAGCGAAGGTTTGTCTATTTAGGAAACTTTGAGACCGGAGACCAGAAGAAGACCAAACCAGAAAGTTCTTGGCGAGAACACCGGCCCCTCTCAGGCCCCTCGAGACCTGGTGTGCGATCTTGTCAGCTCCTGGACCACCAGACTGTGACAGTTCCCCCAATAACCCATCCGACTACGGGGCTTACCCCGTCCCCACTGAAGGAGATTGCGCAATGCCATGGCGGCAGCGTCAGGAAGCCAAGTTCCTAGAAGTCACAAAACAAGGTTTTGACATGAGGGGATGTCCCTCCGTAAGAGTTCCCTTCTGGATAAGATACCGAAGGCTCCGTGACAGGGAATTCTTCGGGGGGAAAAAAAAAAAACAATAGGAGGATGAGGGATGGCGAGGGTTCCCCCCACCCCTAAAGAAATCTATCAGTACAATAGCACTGTTGACGGTGAAAAGCAGGCCTCTATCTGGAGTCAAGGCCAGAGCAGCAGACTCCTTGTCCCGCTCACCGGCCTCTGCTGCCCCGTAAGGTCCCAGCCAACGCTGATGCGGATTTTCTTCCTAAGAGCCCAGGGGGATGTTTTTCCCTAAGTGCTTGAAAAAAAGAACAAAGAAAAAGTATCGTTAAGAGGATTTTCCATTCTGTTCCTGGCAGCTGGCTCAGAAAGATGCCCCTGTTCCTGCTGCTCACCTGCCTCCTCACCACCATCGCCCGGGTGTCGCCCATAGGTGAGTCTGTGTCAAGAATTGGATACAGTGTACCTTTTTTTTGTTCCTGTTTGATGTTGTATACAGAATGGTAGGAACTAGATGAGGAGGCCTAAAATACTGGCCCTCTGGTTGTGTAAAAAAGTCCTCAACCTACAAGGATATGGGCCGTGAGAATTTTTGCTGCCTGTTACTTTACCCTCCTGCCTGAGTGTCCTGAAATTCCACAGCTCTTTTGTCTCTAAACCTTCCTATGAGTTAAATAGTGCTTGGAGTACGTGAGGAATTCTAATCTCTTTCTAGAGTAAGCACTTTAGGCTTTCAGCTTTAAGCATGGAAATGATTTTTTTCTTTTAGGGATGAGGGTAGGGCCTTTTCCTTAATGAGTAAAAGGGACCGAACGTTCTGTCCCTGGAAAGGGTAAAGATCTGGATAAAACGTTTATTAAGCTTGACCTTTAAAAATATGAGTGACTCTTTGCACAGACCAAGCAATTCTTACGCTGTTTCTCTCAGGCTTGGCAGAAAACTGGCCAGCGAGGATCCTTCTGGGCACGTCTGAGCAGCTCAGTATGTGACTGGCCTAGATTTGTCTCTCTGAGGTAACTTGGGCCATGCTCTGTCACCTTTAAGAATATACATTAAAAACAAGTTTGAGCCCTGAGGAGACGTGAAAGCTACATGTAAGGCAATGTTCTGGATGGGATCCTGGGACAGGCAACCAGGTAGATAAAAACCAAGACAAGGTGAATGACTCTAGGCTTGAGTTAATACTATACAAGCGTGCCTCACTGACTGGAACACAAGAAAGGAGAGAAGAGCCGGGCGGTGGTGGCGCACGCCTTTAATCCCAGCACTCGGGAGGCAGAGCCAGGCGGATCTCCGTGAGTTCGAGGCCAGCCTGGGCTACGGAGTAAGTTCCAGGACAGGCACCAAAACTACACAGAGAAACCCTGTCTCAAAAAAATCAAGAGAAAGCAAAGAAAGAAAGGAAGGAAGAAAGGAAGGAAGGAGGAGAGGGGGGATGTAAGAATCAAGGGAGGGGAGCTTCCAGACACAGCAAAGGTAGAGGGCTGCAGAGACTACGATCTGGACAGTGTAGGGCTCACTGGAATACCAGCCCCCAGGATGATAAGATGGGGACACAGATGTGTCTGCTCACGTCCTGTGGTTGGTCCTTGTACAGGAGCCAGGATGCTCCCGACTGTCCTGGCGAGCCACCGAACCTTCTAGAAGGTAGGGGGGCTTTGAGGGGAACACACGGGGCTGTTCTCTTTCAAGCCCAGAGATTGCATGAGCTAGTTAGGAGGCATTTGTAGAACACCACATTCGTGGCTCCACATTGAGACTAAAGACGGGAGTGGACGCAGAATGACCACTTGCAAAGAGTGCGGAAGCATTTACTGTTAGAACACAGCCAGTGACTGCGTTCGTGGGACGTTCTATGTGGGATTGCGCAGCGGGTGGCGGGTCAGTTTCTCTTCTTCATGCCGCCGTTCCTCCACCACGGGAAGGCAACTGAACTCTTCACCAGTGTAAGAAACGACCTTTAACTTCAAGGAAAACTTTAGAAATCACGGAAGAGTCATAACAGGAGCTGCTGTGGATGCCATTAAAGGTTGGGCGACTAACCATTTCTTGTCAAATTAGAGCCAAGCAGATGAGTGGGATGTCTCTATGGGTTTACAATCACCTGGTGGAATTGCTCTGGAAGCCTTGCTTGGCCAGAGAGCCACAGCCAGCAGGGCAGAGGAGGAGATTTTTCCCTTGGAGAGGTGAGGGAATTTGGGGACATTTCCTCCTCTTTGGAGAACACTGAATTGCCAGCTAGCACTCAGCCAGGACAGATTAAGGATGCTTTAAAGACTTTGGGAAGAACCACAGAACTTGAAGAGAAGGTTGCTTGTACCGCCTACAGCTCTGCAAATGTCGTTTCCAGAAAGTTCAATGTCCTAATCACTTCTTTCTCCAGACTGTCCAGTTATTTCCCGCATCCACTTGCCAGGCTGCTGTGTATTGAAAGCAGCCGGCTGTGTGCCTCGGACCTTTTCCCTTTCCATGGAATGAGCTCTCCACATTCTTTATTCGGTCCAACTTCACACGGATGCAAGATGCTGACTGTCGTTTTCACAAAAGTCATTCAAGGCCTCTCTCCTTTCTTTTCTTTTTTAATTTCCCAAAACGGGGAGCTAACTGCATTGTAGCACAGTCTCCCCCGTGACTGGATAGCTCACCTGCAACATGCTTTTCCGTAATCATCTGTCCTTATCTTTATATCAAAATACCTGACTCCTCTTACACTTGATCCACTTGGTATATTGATTTATTTTTCTCATTCTTTTGTTCATTCATTCTGGTGCTGGTTGGAATGCAGGGCCTCTTGCACACCAAGCTCAGGCTGGAACACTACCAGGCATGGCACAGACTTTTAATCCCAGTACTAAGGAGACAGAGGCGGGGATTCCTGGGGCTCACTCGCCGGACAGCCTAGCCTAATCCATGGGCCCCAGGCCAGAGAGAGACCCTGTCTAAAGAAAGCAAAGTGAATGGCTCCTAAGGAAGGATGCCTGAAATTGATATCTAGCTACACACATGCACACACCCAACATACACACATACACCACACATACACATGACACACCCACTTTTTGTTTGAAAAATCAAAATGTAAGACCGAGGTGGATGTAGCTGTTGGCCTTGTGACCTGAAACGCCACCAGGTGTCTCTGAGACCCCTCTCCCTCCCAGCCCTAGATCCTTGTTCCGCTTACGTCAGCCTGAATGAGCCCTGGAGGAACACTGACCACCGGTTCGACGAGTCTGAAAGCCAACCCCTTTGCGACAACCATATGGATGGAGAGTGGTATCGCTTCACGGGTATGGCCGGAGATGCCATGCCCACCTTCTGCATACCAGAAAATCACTGCGGGACCCACGCACCTGTCTGGCTCAATGGCAGCCACCCGCTGGAAAGTGATGGCATCGTGCAACGCCAGGCCTGTGCCAGCTTCAAAGGGAACTGCTGTCTGTGGAACACCACGGTGGAGGTCAAGGCCTGCCCTGGAGGCTACTACGTGTATCGGCTGGCCAAGCCCAGCGTCTGCTTCCACGTCTACTGCGGCCGTAAGTTCCTTCCCGGGCTCTCTTCCTTCCCCAGCAAGGCCACAGAGGGAGTGAAAGAGAAAAAGCACCATTTGAATCCAAGTTATTGTGACCCAGCTTTGTTTTGTGTTTGTTCGTTCAAGCATTATAGAATTAGAAGTGATAGATTTCCAAGAGCCCTCTGTGGCCTACCTGTTGACCCATGATCAATAGGTGGACAGACAGATGCCCAGACAGCCACACGGTGCTCACTCTCATTGCTTTTCAGAAATGATAGACAATGGGAAGAGGCAATGGGACATCGATAATACCTTTCAGCTTATTTCTCTGTCGCTAATGCCATCAAAATCCGGGGACTTTGCAAACATCCTTGATGGCAGAGCTCAAACCCAGGGCCTCACAGAAGCTGGTATCTGCAGCTCCTGTGTTCACTTTGGAGATTCCACGGTGAAGCATGACCTCCCTCTTAGTCCCTAGCTCACAGGCAGTGATGTTTCTAACTTGCTGAAGTCCTCCGGCCACCAGTGGGCCACTCCCACTCTGGAGCTGGGAGTCTGTTATCTGAAAGGTCCAAAGCTGCCCCCTGAGCAGCTGATCTCTCCCCACTGGGTGATGCAGCCCTGAACCATGAGAAATGTCAGGATAGAGTTCTGGGAATTTGGAGGCCATGGCTGAAGAGGAGACTACTCAAAAGAGAGGGCCCCCTGAGTCTCCCACTCACAGAAGGAAATCGTTGTTCTTCCATAGATTTTTATGACATCTGTGACGAGGACTGCCACGGCAGCTGCTTGGACACCACCGAGTGCGCATGCGCTCCGGGAACCTCGCTGGGCCCAGATGGACAGACATGCTTTGGTAAGAATTACTCACCAGGGGGAAATGAGCCCTCAGGAGCGAAGAGACCCATCAGGGCCCTGTTGCCAGCCCAGTTAGTCTGAGCATTTACAACTGAGCTTGTCACCATCGGTCACAACTAAAGTGCGTTACAAGCTCATGCTGTCATCAGGGCAGTCTGGAATCACACTGCTGGTTCTAGTGGCCGCTGGTCCCTTGTGGTTATGGAGCCATTGAAAGGAGCGTGCCTGAGGATCTGAATCTTAATTTTACTACGTTTTAATATAAAAACTGACTTTTGATTCAGCCATTGGCAAACGAAAAATGCCTGGGATAACTCGAATGATTAAATTTTGCCTATTTTTATTAACTGTAAGTACAAATTAAATGTATCTGCTGAAAAATTGGCATCCATTAAGGTGTGGTACATTCCTGTAACTCTAGCGCTGAGGAGGCTGAGGCAGGAAAATGGTGAGTTCAAGACCACCCTGAGCTACATAGACAAGACTGTCTCAAAAAAAAAAAAAAAAAAAAAGGAAGATTTGACATTCAAATTGAAATGTGTTATAAAGTCATTTCAAAGTAGGTTCCAAAAACATGTATTATTTTCTTATGCATATTTCCTTTAGGTAAATATAAAAATTCAAACATTGGTTTTTCAAGACAGACTTTCTTCGTGTGGTCTTAGCTGTCCTGGAACTCAGTCTGTAGACCACGCTGGCTTCAAACTCAGAGATCTACCTGCCTCTGCCTCCCAAGTGCTGGGATTAAAGGTATGCGCCACCACCGCCCAGCAGTGCAAATATATTTTTATTTATTGGCTTTTTCTTTTTGTAATAAAGATGGCATGCCATCACACCTATCTCTTCCTGACACTGTTTATTGCTTGGACATCTTTGCCTATTAAAAGCCCCAAGTTCCTATTAAGTGCCAACAGCTTCAGCAAGATGACGGTAGGCAGACTTCTGGTTTATGTACACAGGTCAATTTTAGTTTATGTTTAGTTTTTGCATAAATGAAACAGTTTTAAATTTTTGTTCCACTTATTTACTGTGTATATATGCTGGTTTTCATGTAAATGAAGCAATTTTAGACTTTTGTTCCACTCATTTACTGTGTCTATCTGTAGGTCAAGGACAACTCTCCAGAGATGGGTCTCTCTTTCCATCCAGCTGGTCCCAGGATCAAACTTAGGTGGTCAGGGTGGGCACCAAGCGCTTTTAACCACTGACCTAGCCTAACAGTTTTAATCATTTCTTTAATTAGTTTTTTTCAGGCAGAAGGGAGAGAGTAAGAAAATCACAAAGCAGATACACATGTACCCAGATGTAACTATAGTTAAAATTTGTTTCCATTTTTTTAAATGAAAATAGAGGGCTGGAGAGATGGCTCAGAGGTTAAGAGCACTGACTGTTCTTCCAGAGGTCTTGAGTTCAATTCCCAGCAACCACATGGGGGCTCACAATCATCTGCATTGAGATCTGGTGCCCTCTTCTGGCCTGCAGACACACATGCAGACAGAACATTATATACATAATAAACAAATAAATCTTTTTTAAAAAAAAAATGAAAATAGAATTTTGATGTTCAAACCAAGCCATCTTGCTGGACTCCACCATCCTCTGCCATCCCCTGGGGCTGGCTGCATGCTCGAACGTCAGCCTGTTTCCTTCCCACCCCATCTCTAGGTTTTATTATTGCTGTGTGGATGCCCCCCACTGTACCATACAGAATTATTCTATCTGTACCGAAAGTTAGCATACAAACTACTCCCCACTCTATATGCAACATTTTCTCTAGGGTGTAAACACGCAGATGGAATTGCTAGAGGTCAAGATTCCTACACTGGCTAAAAATAGCAGCCCTGTGTAACGGTAGCCTAAATAAGTAGAAGTTAATTTCTTCCTCACATTAAAAAATAAAAATCAAAAGAAAAAGCAGTCCCGAGGGTAAGGAGGCCAGGAGGAAGCCTTAGCATGGGTGTGGCCACACCTGCTGCCCGGAAGCTGCTGGCCTCCCGCCCTCCCTGGTGCAGGTAGTGGAGAGGAGGTCAGGGCCCAGTTACAATCAGGCTCTAGGCAGGCCT